AACAGCTCTACCCCCTGCCTTGCTCAACATTTTTCTACCTTCCATTTCATGATGAACACTCACTCTTATATTCTACTCTCAAGAAAACATACCCTATGGTTTCTCACAGAACACCCATCCTCTAGCCTGTGGTTGCTCAGGGGATGGTCATATGTAAAACAAGGAAGTGGGTAGTGTATAAGAACTCAAGATATGAACTCATACCCCAGGGAGTAATGGGAACTAGAGAAGGTGTTTTAGGCAAAAGGTTGTAGGTTGGTGTATATTTTCTGAGTAGCTACTATGGACTGAAGTTTTACACAGAGATGTGTTCATTATCTTTTGTTATGGTTAGTACTGGCCACTGATGAAGATGAGGTTGGCTTCTTCACACTACTGGGTAACTGAATTTTTACTGTCCTTATCGGGAAGGACATGGTAAGATGAAAGAAATTCACTTTTATTTGGCTGGTTTGGAGTTGTAAAAAACAAATGGGAACCAGACATAGTGAGTGACACATGCCTTATCCCACCCCTTGGCAAACAGAGGCAGGCAGATCTCTGTGAGTTCAAGCCCAGCTTGCTCTACAGAGAGTTCCAAACCACTATATAGCAAGACTCTGTCTCAAAAACTAAGATAAAATGAAATAAATGACTGGCTTCAAAGGTAGTGGCTCTTTGCTTGGAATTTTCTGAGATGGCTCATGAGAGCTGGAAACATGTCCTCTTCACCATCTGTTATTCTGAGAAGCTAAGGTAAGCCCACTGTATAGTCAAATATGAGCAACACAAGACCTGCTATGCACTCATGCCCAACTCCTGATCTCAGCTGAAGCCAAGTTTAGATACCTCAAAAGTTTCTAGATCCATCCAGTTTGTCCAAGTCTTAGTGGAATGAGTACTGAGTAATTTTTTGGTCTGCATCAAAGTCCTTCCTGATGCCCTTTGTGAGCCCCAGAAAGTACAATCAAATGCAAATGGACTAGATATTGTTGACAAACTTGCTGCCTGAATATATTGTATATGCTTGTTGTACTTATTGTGTATAGTTTTGTTTGCTGTAGCCTTCTTCATTTTGCATGAGACAAAAAGGGGAATGGTGATATATTATTTATCATTTATTAAAGCTTTCCTGAAGTTTCAGAGAGCAAAGTCAGCCTCAAGCTATAGGGATCAGGCAGTGGTGGTACACACCTTGAATCCCAGGACTCAGGTAGATGGATCTCTGTTAGTTCAAGGCCACCATGGCCTACACAAGAGTGACGAGTAACAGAGCTCATGCCTTTGATCCCAATACCTGGGATTACATTTCTTTAATCCCAGCATTAGAGAGGTATATGAGACAGGAGCAAGGTCTCAGAGCTGGCATTAATTCTCCAGCCACATTGACGATAGGAAAGCATATATTCTCTAGCCACACTGAGGAGAAGCAGCAGTCTGAGACTTGGTGAGACTCATGGAGACAGGATCAGCCCTTTCAGCCTGAAGTTAAAGTAAGAGCTAGTGACCAGCTGCTTGGCTTTTCTGATCTTCATCTTGAAACTTGGACTCCAATATCAGTCTCTGGGTCTTTTATTCTACAACCTCCAGGCTTGCTCACCTGTCTCTCCTTTGTCTCCTGTGAGGTTTCCTTAGACTAACTACATGAAATCCTTATCCTCAAGTTTGGAGCTCTTGACAGATATCAAATCAAGGGGGTGGCAATCTCTGGGAATATCAAGTGTTGGAACTCTACAGTTGATCTTACCCAGAAGTGACACCTTCCAGTTGTTTTGACTTGTTAAAGTAGTAACATGTCTCAGCTTGCTAATTAGAGGGAAAGTAGCGTGTTTCAAAAAATTAAATATTGCAAAAATGTCAGCATGTAACACAGAAGGAAAGCTTTCTAAAAAGCTTAAAGCAGAATGAGAAATTAAGTTGAAGGGTGATATTGTAAGATATTTGTATAACTATTTGAAATTGTGTATTTGTGACTAAAAGATACATTCCATTCTTAGTGGTGGTCACTTTGGAGAGACAGACTAAACAATGAAGCTATCAAGAAGTTCAGTGAGAATGTCAGTGTTATCTATAATTTTTGTGATGTGATTTTTGTTGTTGTTTTTGCTTTTTGTTCGTTTGTTTTTCCAGACAAGGTTTCTCTGTGTAGTCCTGGCTGTCCTGGAACTCACTTTGTAGATCAGGCTGGCCTTGAACTCACAGAGCTCCACCAGCCTCTGCTTCCAGAGTAATGGGCTTAAAGGCCTGCACCACCATACCCAGGGTGATGAGATTTAAATAAGAGATTTAAGGAACAATTGAAAACTGTTAACATCAGTTGTTCATTTGGAAGGTGTCACACAGATCTGTTAGATTTTTCTATTGAATATGTGTAAAATGTTTCCAAATTAAAAATTTAAAAAGTTAAAGCACTTCTGTAATAAAATAAAACATTCAGAACTTCAGAAAAGATTAAGCTGACCTATGAACTCACCAATTCCCAAGTATCTATGATATTGCTAAAGTGACAATACTTTCCCACAGGTTTCTCTACCTCAGAATTTGTTGGTGTCCAATGCAGTCACTGATTTTGCTGTGTTTTTAGAGGTTCACAATTTGATTCCTGATAGTAGGAAATGGGGAGAGAGAATTGTAACAGAGAACAGTTAAAAATATATTTAATTTGTTTTCTAAACTTGGGATTAGCAGTGTGAGGGTAAGTATGGGGTCTGACTTAGCTCATGAACATAAAGAAAAGAACCTTAAGTAAGTAATTTTTCTTTCTCCAGATGGCTGAAACCAACCCACAGTTCTTATTGGTAATAAATCAATTTCAACTTTATTTCTCTTACTTCAATCACCCATTTGTAAAACAGTAACACACCAGCTTTATTCTGTACCTTCCATATGAACTTCTGGCTACTGTTTCCCCCCTTTCTTTTTATGATTATAAATAGCCTTCATTAAATGTGCAAACCGAAACCACAGTTTGGATTTTTTGCCTGGCTGCAACTTGGTATTACTCAGTATTATTATTATTAATGTATGTGTTGGGAGACACTCTGATAAATACTCATGATACAGGCCAGATCGATGCATGTGTAGAGCATCTATTTGCACAAAGCAAATGCCATGAGCATTTGGCTCACAAGTTCTGAAGTCTGACACTGTTAGACAGGCTGATGACGGTAGTTTATCATGTGTGGCTGGAGTAGAGAAACGAATGGCAAAGCCCTTTAATGGTCCCTGCCATTCTGGCAGCAAACCCCCCTGGCCCTGTCATCTTTGCCCCCAAACCAATCAGCATCTCTATGGAGTAGGATTCAAGGATAAAGTCAACATAAAACTCCTTGGGTTCCAGAAAGGATGGAGAACGGCTTACTAAGGGGCAGTCGTGAACAGAAGACATTGTACAATCTGTTGGCCTCGGAGCCTTTTCAAAAAGGACCTGCAGTTTTGCATGCTGCAAGCCATTCCCGCCCCCCCCCCCATTTGTTATCCTTTATATCTCCCTCCGCCCATGGGGAACCAGGACTAATAGTTCCTAATGGCCCAGGCAAAAGCGGGGAGAGCTGCAAAAGGTGCGAGTGGTTTTAAAACCCTTGATTCTGTTAGTCTGCCAGCACCAAAACTATAAACAGGAGTGCCTGGCAGTGGAGGAAGGGAGGCAGCCCTCTTCGTGTATGCGAGCTCTTGAGCGGGAGGCAGGGAGGAGCAGCATGTAAAAGGCTTCACACAAGCCTGGCTCCTTTCCATCATGCCAGAGCCCACCCCCACCCCTCACCCCCACTCCCCACCCCCACCCCTGACATCGTGGGAAAGCAGGCATCTAGGGAGGACTCAGAGTTGGAAATTTTTGCGACAGAGGCTATTACTGATAAGATTTCAAAATTCCCTCTCTAGGGAGGAAAAGGGGGACACAGATTTTAAAAAAAATTTTTAGACATTTGTCTATTACATGCGTGCTATGGGCTGAACCTATGTCCCCCCTTCAACTGTGTACAGAGCTCTAGCCCCTTGTGTGACCATCTCTGGAGACAGGGCCTTAAGGAAAGTGAGGAAGGTCAAATGTGGTCATAATGGTAGGGCTGTAATCCAAGAAGAGTAGTGTCTTTCGTGGAGAAGAGGCCCCAAGGAGTGTACTTGTGCAAGGGAAAAGTCACGTGAAGACAGGATGAGAAATCTGCCATCCGCAAGGCAGGACATGTGCTTACCCTGGGGACCAACCCTGCTGCCACCTCCCTTGCAGCCTCCAGAATAGTGAGGACATAAAGGAATACTGATGAAACCACCCAATCTGTGGTAACAGTGTTGGTAGACCTGCCAAACCAACACAATGCCTTGTAACACCAGAAGGCTGATCTTACTACATGTAAGTATTGAAACTCCCTTCCATATGCGTTTAGCTCCAGGAAATGCTAGAACAAATCAGATGCTGGATTTAGGCAGGCCTAGTTCAAAGCCCAGTTAGTCACTAACTCCAGCTAACTATTGCCCCGTTTATGTCTCCTCATCTGCAGAAGAGGAATAATGGCAGATTCTACAGCCAGGTTTGTCCTGAGACAGACTGATTTCTGTCTGTAGAACATGTGTAAGGGCTCACGGGTAGAACTCTAGAAGACTGCCAGCCATGGCAGAGACACTGCGGGCCTTGTTTGTGTATAGTATTTTCAGCTTACCAAGTGCTTCCATAGCCATTCTTTAATTGAATTTTTTATAGCAATCTGATGAGATTAGTGGAGAAGGATATGTGATACCCACTCAAGGCAGGAGAAAAACCAAAATTCTGAGAAGTCAAGCCTCTAGTCCAAGCTCAGGTTTCTAATAAATATGGAGCCGGGCTTCACATGAATGTCCCCCGGCCCCAAGACTATGGCTTTCACTGGTAAATTAGTACTCTCTGTGGTTCCTACCTTACTCCCTCCCCCCTTTCTTCTAGTCATCCCCCTCCCCCAACACATACTGAGCTTCTGTCAGGTTTCAGAATACTTCTCTTTCCTTCCCCAGAACTCTGGATTTCGGTGTTAGCTGTGCAGTGTGCAAGCCCACCGGGGAATACCACAGTGTGCCCATGCCTCTCCATCCAGCGCTGTCTTCCTCATTGGAAGTGACCACCTACTTTGTGTCTCGTCTCCCCACCTGACAGCTTCGTCACTTCCAGAACCCAGGGCTCAGCTTTCAAGGGCATATTATAAATAGATCCTCCTTACCAGGACTCTCCTTTCTTATCTGTGAACTGACACCAAGCACAGGCAACCAGGGCACAAAGAAAGAATGCTGTCCGGGACGGAGCAGATAATCAATATCTTCAAAAGAGTTGAGAGCACGTTTTCCCAAGGGGGAAGTGAGGAAGGTCTGAAAATGACAGCCTGGGGAAGCTTCCTGGGATCTTCTGTGGAGGGGAGGGAATCATTTAAAGGAGAAGATTTCCTGCTGCCGTTTTTGAAATTTGGAGAAATGTCAGTATCACCCTTTTATGTTCTTTCTACAAACTGGGAAAACTAAAGCTGTGAGGATGCCCCCTGATCACTGGTGTGGTGTGGGAGTTGCAGTGACAGGGAAGAGGCTCTGAATTATGAGAAGTGAGTCATTACTTTGTATTTCTGGCCGTTAGGGATATGAATTTTATGTGTATGTAGGGTGCACACGTGTGGAGGCCAAAAGGCCATCTCAGGTGCCAGTTTTCAGGACTTTCAGGTTTTGCTTAAGATGGTGTCTCTCTGGCCTGAAACTTGCAAGTGGGCTAAGCTAGCTGGCCAGCAAGCCCCAGGGATTATACCTCCCCAGTGCTGGGACTGCAGGGATGCTTCTAAATCCAGCTGGCTCTCTTCATCCCTCCCTCCCTCCCTCTTTCCTTCCTTCCTTTCTATTTTTCTTTCTTTTTTAATTACAGTTCTGTGGATGGAACTCAAGTCATCTGAACTTTTCCGCATCCCAGGGGTGTGAAAATTCAGAAACTGAGAAGCACTGTGCTGTGGAGTCTTCAGAAGAGAAGGCTTTTTAGTTCATGCCTGAAAAGTCCCAGTAGAGTATGAGAAGCCCATCAAATTCAGCTGTCCTGCTTTACAGATAATGCAATTGAGCACATAGAGGAGCCCCAGGAATAAGATCTAATATTATAACCAGATGTGCCAGGCCCAGCTCTTCCTTCCACCTATAGTGAGAAAATATTAGTGGGGCAGACCAGAGAACTGCCAAATCATTCTCTGCTCTAAAGATAAAAAATTAAAATGTGCCCATTGGAAGCTGCCTTCCACCAAGGACATCTGCCTGAAGGATGTCCCTGTGGAGGCTGAAGGAACACAAACACAGATCTCTCCTGCCCTTGTAACTGGCTTCAGAAGGGCCTATGATATTTCAGTGATTATTTCAGGAGCTAAGGTAGTAAATTGGAGGCGTGATGTAGAAGGTCATGAAGCAGCTGTTGGCTTTCTCTGAATGTAGATTATGTTCCTGTAAGGCAGAGCGTCTGTAGTCTGTAAATATTCTCCGTAACAAGTCACCCACGAGATGCTGGTAAACCTCACCCTCAGGGTTAGCCCTGGCTCTCACTCACACCCTGACGACTCTTTCCTTGGTCCTCTCCCCAAGTGACACATGTGAGCTGTGTCATGTTACCATAAAGACTAGCCAACACCTCATCCATGACTATCATGATCTTGATGTTCCTCTTACATGGACCAAAACCCTGTATTTGATTATGACTTTTAGCCTTTATTTTTACTCTCACTATATTCTTCAAACTGACAGTGACCATAATCAACAATCTAACCCTCTCTTGACTTTCATACTGACTGTGACCCTCTTACCAAACTTTACCATGTCTATGACACTGAAGCTAACCTTTACCTGCAAATTGACCCTGACCCCATGCTTGGTACCCACACACTCTATCTGATCTCCTTACTCCTCAATTGTTACTTCTTCCTTGATAATGTATCTGACCTTGATAATCACTCTGATCATGATTAATTATCATGACCTCACAATAGCCTCATCCTCACATTAGTTTGTATCTCAAAAAGCCTTTAATTTTGGTTGAATTTCTTATTCTTCTTCCTCAGCAGTTGCCTTTATCCTTGTTGTCACTTTCAGTTTGATCCTGAGCCTAAACCTTATCCATTCATTGATCCTTACATGACCCCAGCTTTTATACTTCCATACACTGACAGTAAACTAGTGGATCACATCTCGACTGAACACAGGAAGTACAGATGAACAGGGAGTAGGATTAGGCTATACATCCTCAAAACCCATCCCTAAGGGACATTCTTCCTCCAGCAAGATCACATCCCCTAAAGTCCTATAGCCTCCCCAAACAGTGCTATCAACTGGGGACCAAGTATTTAAATGCATAAGCCTGTAGGAGACATTTCTTATTCGGACTACCACATCACAGACCCTAAAATACACAACCACTCTCACTTTGACCCTGTTTTCTTCAACCTCACCCTAATACTCTCTTACTCGCTCATCTTGACTTCCAACTTTACTCCATCACACACCCATTTACCCATTACCCTGAACCTACTCCTTAGCATGGCCTTAAACATGACCCCAACCATCATAATGATTCTGATTATTAACCATGACCTAACCATCACTAAACTGAGTTCGAATATGAAATCTTATATACTTGTATCTGATCTTAATCTAGATTCCTTATAATTTACAATAGAAAAGTAATTTTGAAAAGTATATTTAATTCTGAGCTTGCTTATACTTGTGTTTTGTGTTTTCAAATACATTCTTTTAATTTGCATGAATATGTCAAAGTAAAAAAATATGCTTGAGAAGAATATTTTGTTGTTTTTACTTGTCTCAGATATAGCCTCAATTAATCCTGGTAGTTAATAAGATTTTTCTTAAGAGACCAATGTCTGATTTCTTTTATATATTCTCCAGTTTCTTTACACAAGTACAATTTTCAAAGATGCTTTTTTTTTTTAACTGACAAGAAGTAACTGTATGGAGTTTAGAGTTTTCTATATGGTCTGACTCAGAGGAAGAAAATGTAATTCAGATGAAGGTGAGTTGCTGAGGGATGTTTAAAATCTTACCAACCCGATATGCATCTTGGTTGAGGCAAATATAGTATTGAAAACCTCTGTGTCAATGCAAACGAACTGGCTTACATGTCCCTCTCAAATACCTCGTTGCTCCTTAGATTAAACTGAGATGAAGGCAAGCACACAAGGGTAGTGTGTATCGTTCATCTTCAAGGTGTGTCCTTGTGTGAGGGGAACAGCAGATGAAGAGCCTAAGCTGTGGCATCGGAAGGATCCAAATCAGTCTAAACAAGCCCAGATTCCAACATCCTTCTCAAAATACTCCTGCCAGGCTTCGTGGTGCACACCTTTAATCCCAGCACTGGGGAGGCAGAGGCAAAAGGATCTCTGTGAGTTCTAAGCCAGCCTGGTCTACATAGTAGTGCAATCCAGGACAGCCAGGACTGCATAGAGAGACCCTGTCTCAGTCCACAACAATAAAACTCCTTGTTGCTTTTTCCAGTGAACCAAGACAAATGTAAGAGCAGCATGTGTCCATCTCAAGGGCAGGAATATTTATACTTCCCAATCTTAGATTACAATCCTAACCTATCATCTGATGGGAGAGCCTGGAGGAATGAATGGGACTAGGGACTTCATAAGAAGAGGTGGAATGTTTACTTCCCCTTTCTCGCCTCTACCATCTGAGGACCAGCAAACACGGAAGACCTTCACTGTATGCTGCGTCTGTTGGCACCTCCATCTTGGACTCCCCAGTCTCCAGAACGATGAATGACAAATGCCAGTTGTTGAAGCCAGCCAGTGGATGCTGTTCTCTCATAGCCACCAGGCTAACCCAGCCGAGCACATAGTTACAGTGATGCTAAAAAGTAGCAATGGAAATGTATTGGATAGTATCATCAAGCTCAGATCAGACCTGCTTTTAAAATTCTCAGAGAAAAACAGTATGCACCTAAAGAAACAAATCACATATTAAAGGCATATTTCCTGGGAGAGAAGCAACTAAACATAATCTTAATCCACTCTTTAGTCTTAAAATGTCATCGAATTAACAACATATGTAAATCTCTTTGGCTCATAGTGCATATGCATTTGGATTGACCTTTACAGAGCTTTTAATTAATAAGATGACTACTCACAAAAATATACCTGGGCAGTTTGTAACTTCCTGTCCTCAAGGAAAAGAATTGTTAGTTTAATTATAGATACTAACTGGCATTAGTTTTTGTACTGAGTACAAACATTGCAGGTATAACATTTGATTTTTTTTTTTGTTTATGCACTTCTTTAAAGTTGTGTAGCTCGTTAGTATAATAAACTTAATAGACATATACGGTTTTATTTAGTATACTAACAATTATATTTTAATAGTATAGTTTTATATTGCTAATGTTTGCATATTTATATATGCCTTAAGGCATACAGAGAATGTATCTTTTACTATATATGTTTTGCATAAGTAATATAGCGGAGGTATTAGAATGAGGCTTTTCCCCCTTCCTTTTTTAAGACAGGGTCTTATTATGTAACTGGCCTAGAACTTGGGATGTAGACCAGGCTGGCCTTAAACTCACAGAGATCTACCTGCTTCTGCCTCCCAAGTGTGGGGATTAAAGGCATGTACCATCATCCCATCTGGCAGAACTGAGACCTTTCGTGTAAAGTGATGCATCTGTCATTTTGGCTGGTAGCACAATGACCAATGGACATTCCTTTTTCTCACCAATTTATTCTAATGCTGATGCTTCCTGCATACTCTCCAGCCATCCTGTTAGAAAGTCCCATTGATAGCCTTGACCTATATTTTCCTGTTTAAATTTTAAGATGCCATCACATAGTTCTCAAAATACAGGCAGCTTCTAGAAATTAAGTCAGTTATGAAGACTTATGTTGTCATCTTCATGGGACTTGGCAGCTCACTGGATACAGGGTGGGGAAGAGGAATTTTATGTGTGTGTTTTTGTTTTTTTGAATAGGTGACAAAAGCAACTTAGGGGAGGGTTTTTTGTTTTTTTGTTTTTGGCCTCACAGTTTGAAGTTAGTATAGAATGACAGGAAGGCACAGAGGCAGGAACACGAAGCCATGAGCTGCTCCCAGAGTCAGAAAACAAAGGTACAAAACGCTGATGCTTAATGAACTGTCCCTTTCTTACTCAGTCCAGCCCCACAGCCCATGGGATGGTGCTACCCATATGTAGGGTACATCACCCCACCTAACTAATGTAGACAGTCCCTCAAAGCCAAGCCCAAAGGATTGTCTCCTCAGTGACACTAGATCCTGTCAAACTGGCCACCAGTAGTAACCATCATAGCATAGTGGACAAAGTTGGAGTCATTTCAACACAAGGGTATTTCCGATCTTCAGAAACAAAACAGAACACACAGATTGTGTGTCAAATGAAAGTGTTTACCCCTGTGCAGACACAACAATCTTAATCTAGATAGACACTCCCATAATCATATCCACAAGGCTTGAAACATTCAATCCACTGTTTATGATCAGTAAATTGTCCCTAGTTCAGTTTGGGATGAGGGTTAAAAATCTCAGGGTTGCCTAAGCAACGATGCCAAAACACTTAAAAATGGGAGTTCAATGAAGATTCTTCAAGTTGTCAACACCAGGCAGAGATAAACATCAGTCGAGGACCGGCAGACTAATTTTAAGTCTCCATGCCAGCACTGTGTCCCAAAGCTTGCTCTACTTCCCAGGTACAGTCTTGATAAAGCCCCATAGTAGGTCACCAAACAGAGGGAAGGGCCCTAGAGCTCTGTAAACACCAGTCAATGGACTTCACACAGTACCTTTTGTGTGTATCAGGCATTAGTTCTCAGGGGTCACTCAAATTTCTCTTCCTTCGAAAGAGCTGTGTTTAGCTGATTGTAGCCGGGTTAGAGGTGGGGGCAGGGGTGGCTTGGCTTTGTGTTTCCACATTGGGAAGTTCCCACTTGTCCCTCTAATGATGTACCATTGTGGAATATTTTTACACAGAAACTTCGTGTCTTCATCATCTGCAGTCCTCAATATGAAACAGAGGACTAAGGAAAGCTTCTAGAGCTTGGTGAATTCCCATGTCTCCAGGCCATTAGTTTTCCTGTCTGCTTCTGGGACATTCGAGCTGTAAGTGGGAAACTGTCTTTCTTAAAGGGGTAGATAGCTGAAACCCCTGGGCTTTACTGGACGCTACAATCCTCTTCCTCCTGTTTCTTTGTTGTCTCAGGGCAAGACAATACTGCAATCTCTCTACCCATCTCAACCACGCCTCTTTTAGCCAGATGCCCAGTAACCGCTTGCAAGTTTAAGGTGCTCTAGTACTATTGCAATTGAATTCTTTTGGTGAGTAACCCTCGCATTACTCCCCAATACGTTCTGGCCAGTGTGCAGGGGTGCCATTCTTCAGGTGACTTGCACACTTGCACTCCTCAACAGTACCAGAAGGAGCAGTACTGCCGTTGCTAGGAAACAAGCGCGCTACAATCCCCTGGACCCTGTCCTATGCGCTTTGCGGAAAACACCCAGCTGGACCCTTGAGCTTGCAGGGACTATTCCAGGTGCATAGCTGCCAAACTGCTGTTCTCAAGGAGCAGGGCTGGATGAAGCTCCTGGCAGCCTCAGGAACACCCGCTGTGGAGGCTTGAGGTGAATTCCTTCTGGCTTAGCTGAAATCTGTTGCATGCCTCTCCTTCCTCCAAAGTAGGAGGCTCAGCCTCAACAAAAGCCAAATTTCCCTTCCACCACCCCTGTTCCTTTAAATAAGTGCGTTTGTGCCTACCCAGGCCCTTCTTATGTGCTCACTGTCTCCACCTGCTGATACTTTGCTACGCTTTGCTGTATAGTTTTAAAGTATGAAAAATATAAAATTGGGTTATGCCTAAAAGAATGGTTGAGGAATATGCATTGAGAACTAACACGAATTTGGTGACAAAAAAGGACTGTCTCATGAGCAAAGTAATAGTCATTTTGCTTGTAAGACAAATCATTTATTCCTTACCCACATAGTGGTAGAGAGTTATTAATATGCATTATTTGTAGGAATTCAGTCGTGTACACAGGAAAATACGAACACTGAGAACGAGGCAGTTGTGGAGGTTCACATCTGTAATCCCAATGTGTAAAGTGGAGACAGGAGTTCAAGACCATCTGCTGCACAGCAGCTTCTATGCCAGCCCTGGTTGCAAGCCAAGACAAGCAGATCTCTGTGAATCTGAGGCCAACCTGGTCTACAAGAGTGAGTTACAGGACAGCCAGAGCAAACTGTGAGCTTGTCTCAAAAATAAAAACAAAACAAAACAACAAACAATATTTAAAAATATCTTTTACAGAGAAGCCAATCTTTTCTCTAGAAGTAAGAGGCAATTGTCTGGAGAAACTTAAAAGTTTCAACTGATTTGTTGAAGGAAGGTGTTTTCCTGAGGCTGGACAGACGGCTTAGTGGTTAAGGCTAAAGTGAGTACTGCTCTTTCTGAGGACGTTAAGTTTAGTTCTCAGTATCCACTCACAACTGCCAGGGAACCCACCTCCAGGGA